GTCTTCTCAAAAACCACTCTTAGGTTTATCACGCACATAATAGACCAAGAACAAAAGAGAATTCGATTGGACTCTTACTACTACGAAAGGTATCTAACTACCTATAGTAAAAGTCTAATCACCCGAGCAAGAAAAGATGATGTAAAACAAAATTTGGGCCGTAGCCCGCGAGAGATGTACAAAAGATAAAGGCCCGAAGGCCGCCGACAGTCGAGAACACGAAAAAGAAAGGCGCCACCTAAGCCGAGACGTTACCTGTAGCCGCCTCCAACTCACCCTCAGCGTCTTGACGATCTTGAGGAGGGGAACCAAGGGGAGTCGAAGCGGGAACGTCGGCCGGAGCAGCAGGCTCGCTAGAAGACGCCTCGTTAGCCGACAGAGTCTCGTGCATCTGCGGAAGGAATTCCAACAGACTATCCACGGAGACTCGGAGGGCAGCGGCATCCGAAGGAGTAATGCGCTCGGCGATGGCCAACCGACGGATCCTCTCGAACGCCTGGAGGTTCTCCTCCGTACCAAAGACGTGCTTGAGGAGAAACGGGCGACCCCTAGCGACTTCGGCGCGCGAAAGGCGATCGACGAGGCAGACGACGTGTCGACGAAGACTCAGAGCGGTGGACGCCGCGAGTCGTTCTTGAGCCTGCCAGGTGTGGAAGGCGTCGATGATGTCGTTGACCTTAGAATCGAGAGCTGTAAAAGAAAAAGCGAAAGTTAGAAGAAATCGACAAATAAGTAAGGGAAACTAAGGCTTACCGTAGGGAGCGGCCAACGCACCGATCCAGAGGTGGTTGTCGCGCTTGGCCTGACCGCTAGGCGTGTCGACGAGCTTGCAGGAACAACTCCTAAGGCCCGAGGCGCACCTCGAACACTTGGTGTCGCAGCCTTTTCCGACGCAGTTAGCCGAGGGGCCCTGAATAAGCGCGCAAACTGAACAGCGCGGTCGAAACTGGAAGAGAATAAAGTTCAGAACGAGAAGCGAAGAAGTAAAAAGTCGGAGACGTACCGCAGGGCCCAGATGCTCCTCATGGAGGCACAGGTCGGCCACAGCCTGGAACCGATTGCCGTGCAGGACCGAGGCGTCCTCTTCTACAGAACCGGCAGCCCAAGACGCGGAAGGAAGAGCCTTAGGGGGCGCCTTCACGCCCTTCTCGATCTTGACGGGAGGCGCAGAGATCTCTTCAACCTCGGAGCTCGAGGAGGACCGACGACGGCGCTTCTTGGACGACGCCTTGGAGCTGCTAGCCCTGCCCTTCTCAGAGACCAGCTCGTCGTCCTCGTCATCACCCTCTCCCTCCTCTTCGACAACCTCGACTTCCTCAGAAGACTCCTCCTCGGAAGACGCTTCTTCCTCCTCGTCGTCAGACTCGACGACACGAGAAGTCTTGAAGGGCGAGACCAGCGGGGCCTTGCCCTTCGACGAAGAGGCCATGGGAGCAGGCCCAGCCGACGACTTGGGCGTGGGTTTGGCCAGAGGCGAAGGATAAGAAGGAGGAGGCGGCGGACGAGTGGCGCGGCCGGGACGAGGACGAGAAAGGGTGACAGAGTCGGGTGACGCGAGACGTTGACGTTTTGGCGGCGGCGACGCTGGCAGAGCACGACGTTTCTTTTGAGCTGCCCGCTCATCTAGAAGAAGGAGATGAGCTTAAGGATAAAAGAAAAGAAACTGGTACTCACCTGCCTTACGCTCGAGGTCTTCCACCCAATCGCGGAACCCATCAGTGTCAAGGACAGTTTCCCATACGGCCTTCGCCTTCTTCAACGCAGGGGGGTGTGGAGCCTTATAGTTCGGCGGGATCCACCCCGACTGGACAAGCTCAGGGAACTCGGCGTCGGTGGCCAAGGCCGCGAAAGTACGGCTGGCCGAGTAGGCAAGGTCGTGCGCAAGGGAAGAATTGTCAGGGTCGACCAGCGCGTTCTGGAAGACGAGGACTGGGGATCAGAAAACGATCCGACAAAACAAACGACCACCGAACGTACCCAGTCGGCATGAACTGACCTAGACAGCGCCGTTAGCGATTCGTCGTCCGGACGGCGTCGAAGCTTGATAGCACGGTCCAGCCAGAGAGTCAGTTGACCGATTGGACCGGAAGGCTTAAGGCTTCGGAGCAAAGGGTCGGAACGTGGCTTCTTGGACCTTTTGGAGGGTTGGTTGTTACGAGCCATGGTGAGGAAAGGAAGGAAAGGAACCTGAGGACTCGACCTCTGTGACCTCAGGTTTAAATCAAAAATTGGTGTTCCAAAGAAGCATCTAAATGAATGTTCTGCGGAAAACCAAGCCTGGTAACAAGGCAGAACCAAGAGATGGGCGATATGAGGCCTGGAAACCGCTATGACACGAAAACGTAATAGTGGCGGCCAAGGTCTCATGTTTCAGCCTAAGAAAGGAAAGTTGAAGACAAACCGGCGACTTATCCAGCCTCGAGGCTAGAGGAGCGTCCGGTTGAACAAGGAGTGCGATAAAAAGCCCGTGACAGGACTACCGCAAAGTCTAGGGAGGACTATAGGTCTCTCGACCGTAGTTTACTTAGACTCGAAAGCAGGACACCAACCAGACTCGGTGATTAAACGGTCCGTTTAGACCAAGTGTCGAGACTCGCATTCTCGAAGAGTTGGGCATGTCAGGGACAACCAGAATCTGGGACGGCTGCGCCGACTAACTGACGTGGAAGTCAGAATATTAAGTTGGGGGGAGATGATACGCCGATTTTGCGGCTAGACTTCAAACTGAGCTCAAACGGCTCTATTAGACTCGTCACAAGTGTCTACGTCTAGCCTACAACTAAGGAGTCTTCATTGATGAACCCCAGACCAAAAGCGCAGCGAACCCTTTGTGAGTAGCCTAAGGCGCAGGCCCTTACCAAAAACGCTAGTAGAGACTCTAGTCGAAGGTACCGCAGGAAGCCTAGCCCTAAGTCTAAGACTCGTGCGCGACGTCTAAGTCTTATGGTTTGTTACCTTTCGGGTCTGAACCTAGATCTTGAACCAGGGCGAACTCTACCCACCTGCGACTTGAATATGAGGACTTAGCTGTACCAGCAGAGCTCATAGGGCAAAAGCCTAACCAACTATAACCCTAGACGTGACGACTCGACGAACCTAGTCGAGGCATCGAGTCTAACGGATCACCAAGTCTAAGAGTCTAGACTGGTTCCTCCGATTCGGACGACCTAGCGGAAGCAAATGTCATTGGAGTTGATGGACCAACCGGAAGGACCCCCGACGCCGACACACGGCATTGGAGCGGGACGACCAAAGAGAGAGAGAGCCAAGTCTAAGGTGGAGCGCACCACGTCTACGATGAGACCTCGGCCGATCAGTAACGGACCTCGGGACTGTCTAGACGCGGACGGCTCTCCGCCGAAGGAGTCATAACTAAGCTCCTGTGGAGCAATGTCGATCAAAGTCTGACCCCACCAGGTGGCGAAGTGGAGTTCCCCCTTATGGAACCGGGAACTGGGTCATGGCCGCGTCGATCACGGCAAGGCGGCCCGGCCACAAGCCGTCCTCGGCTGCCCCTAATAAGGCAGCAGCCTAAGCAAAAGTAACCGCGCGTCTACGAGCGCCTAATACTCGAACCGTTCTATTTCTATCCTATCTATCGAAGCTCGTGTTTCTTCTGTTCTATTTCTGTCTCTCTTAGTCTGCCTGTCTTACCTAGTCTTCCTGGTTTTTCCGTCTTTGTTTGTCTACAGCCTTAGTACACCAAACACTCTCCTCATGTATAAAAGCTAGCTAGTTCTCGCTCGAATTCTACAGATTATCGCTGGCAGCTTTTCTCCAGGATAAGACTCCGTGAAGTCCGGCGCGACTCAGCACGTTAAAGGTTTGTCGACTCGGCGTAGATCGACTTTTGGGTTATTCTTTGGCCACTTCGACTCGGTGTAGATCGATTTGGTAACAGTCGTCCCGGCGTGTTCGACTTTGGTTTTCTGTGAGCACCGGCGTGTGTCTCCTTGACCTCTTTTGTGTATTTTCTCGACTACTCAGTAGCGAGGAGGTGGTGGTACCCTAGTCTAGCTAGTGGTCTGCCTCTGCACGACTTATCACTTCGCGCCTTGAGCCTACAAGCTCTTGTTTTACCTTTTACCTTCTCACCTACTGTCCGCCCACTCCCGTGCACCCCCCTTCGAACCTTTGCATTGTTAAGGGTTTGTTTAGTTCTAGTGCCTTCCTACATACCGTCGTTCCTTTTGGGTGAAGTCTAACTTCATTTGGCCTTAGACGTAGTCTTTGGTTGGGTGTAGAGGATTAGCCTTTTTCATTTCTTTTTACTTCTTTACCTTCACCTGCCGGTTCGGTTGGTGTGTGTGTGGTTTTAGAGCCTCCCACCCCTGACCGCGCATCATCTGGAGCCCACCGCGAGGGGGTTGCTTCAGTTTACAAAAGAGGAGTGTAGTCGATTGCTAGCCTAGCTGGTATTCGCACAAGTCGAGGAGAAGTCGTCACTTGTCTAACAAGAGACGTACACGAGACGATTGGTTGTCTTCCTTTGGAAACAACAAAGCGTAGTTTTGGATACCACGGCGTCGAGGTCATCTCAGCCCCGTAAAACCAAGGCGAGCCAGAGAGCAGAGAGTTGTGCCAGGACTTGAGTCTGAACGAGCGCTACGCAAAGCACTCCAAGGACTTCAAGAAATCGGTGCTAGACGCGACGGATCTCTTTCCGAAGAGGATCCACCTTTCGAGACTCCTAACGCCTCGATTGACGAAGACGCGTTTCCACAAGGACTGTCTTTACCAAAGACTCCCCCACGAAACACGTCTACTACAACCTCAGTGCCATCCGCACCAAAGTCGACGAGGATTTCACAATCCATTCGACCTCTTAAACCTATTCGAACTCACCCTTCGATTACCCCAACCCCCACACGAGTAGAAATGCCAGACGTAGAGAATCTCAACCCTAAGGGAGGTTTCTCCTGGGGATGAGGCGATCCCTCATAAAGACATGCCTTCAATTACGAAAAAAGGATCGACCTACCTTATCCAAAGACGATGCTATGGACGTCGTGAGGTATCTCGAGCTTTTGGAGCAGTTGTTCAAGGGCATTGTCAAAACCGATCGAGCCAAGAAAATCTATGCGACTCGTTATATAGACGACCCTATTCTGAAAAGACAATGGGAAGCTATACCAGAGTATGCGACTAGTACTTGGAACGATTTCAAAAGAGCAGTACTCAGGTACTATCCGGAAGGAGAAGGCCTAAGCCGCGGAAGTCGACCTAGACTTATGGATGTCTTTAAACGCCATCGCGAGATATCCCAAGTAAATGTCGGACGAATGGCTAGACTCGCCTTAGCTATCCGACCCGAGGCAGAAGGACTGGAAGCGTTGCAGAAAGAGACAGGACATGTTCTGGTCACCAACCGAGAGATAGTCTCCAACATCCTAGGATGCTTAAGTCCAAACTTCCGAGACGCCTTACGGTTCAGACTCACTCTAGAAGAGTCTAAACCTGCTACAGAGGCAGCCGGTACGACTAGCAAACGGGATTGGTATGGGGAAACGCTCGAAGATAGGGTACCTTGGGGACGTGTCTTAGAAATTGCACAAGACTTGACCAGGCAAACTGGAGCTCACAACGCCTACGGCGGATTTTCTTCTTCAGAGGATAGAGACTATGATCGAAACCTCTATCGAAATCCACCGGCAGCCTCGCTGCAGCGGCAGCTGGAAGTCGAACCCACAGACAGGGATTTCCGTTCGTTTGCAAAAGCCATGATCAAAGAACAACAGCAGTTCGTCTTAGAGCAACAACGAGTGAATGCGAAGTTTGTAGAATCTCTTCGCGAAACAAAGGAGCAGTTTATGGCTGAAAGCCGTAAAAACGCAGAAGCGACCGAGGCTTTAGCGGGCAAGCTAGACATAGTAATCTCCAATCCGCATAACTTAAACTCGGTTAGAGAAACACAGTATAGGGACGGCGCGTCGAGGATGCGATCTAACCAGGGGTCCAGAGACTCTGGGAAGGGAACATCCGACCAGCAGTGCTTCTATTGCAATGGGACAGATCATTGGGTCATGAGGTGCCCGAGTCGATTAGATGATCTTCGTAAAAAGAAGATCTACACTAAAGGCTCAGAAGTCTACCTCTCTTCCAATCACCAAAGGATCTCTGCCTTCTCACCCGATGGCCGTAGCCAAAAGGAACGAGTTGCGGACATGACAATCCAAGGAGCTTACTTGCAAGGCAAAGCCATGGCTCAATCTGAGTCTTCATCCCATGGAGGCGAAGATTATGAGCGCAGCCGCGGTCCCACTTACGGAGACTTTAACACGATGCAGACGGAAATCTCTCAGATCAAGGATATCGTGCACACGTATCTCCTGGATCGAAAAGACTCTAAGTCTGAAGGCGTTCCTACCATTGAGGAACGAGACGACGACCTCGACTCGCAACTAGACAAGCTGGGAGACATGAACAAGAACCTCTCGGTATTTGCTCAAGACCGAGACAGGTCGGGTTTTCCTTAAGACCAAGGACGGAAAAGTCTACTGCTTCAAAAGCTTCGGCCGGCAGTAGTACAGATCCTGAGGCCAGGATGACCAAGCCGAAGTCTAGACGAGTTACAATAGAGGAAGTTGACGATCCTGATGACGAAGTCGTGAAAAAGAAGAATAAAGTGGAAAATAAAAAGGAGACAACTACAACGGCCGCACCCACGCCTAGTGGTATGAGACCGTATGTGCAAGTCCCCAACCGAAAACCCCATACCTTGGGAACCTTTAAGCCAAAGTCTAAACAGACTGAGGCAACACCAAAAGCGGTTAGCACCGCACCCGAAAAGGAGGACGTACCGATTGATCCGCTTGTGGCGACTCATCGACAAGGCCCCGCTTTTTCCAAGAAGGCGCCTGTTGAGGAGCACGTCTCGGTGGCAAAGATTGGGAAAGAACTCCTGGAGCTGGAATTCCCCATTTCCCTTCAGAAACTTATGGGCATTTCGAATGAAGCGCGTGAGTTCTTGAGAAAGATGGTGACAAAACGGAAAGTGCCTCGACATGGTGACGACTTAATCCTAGAGAGAAAGTTGTTGAACCAGTTCGTTTATAACGTGTCGGACGACGAAAGACGACGCTGCAAGCATGCCTGTCTCCTCTTTAAAATGTGGGACTCAGGAGAGCTAGCGGGGCGACTAGACTTGTCAGACTACGAAACAGACGAGGAGCCTTCCGATGAAAGCAAAGTAGCTGAACCGACCTCTCCGGAAGTCTTATCACAAAACTTTATAAGTTTGAACGACTTACCGACGGTCCAGTACGAAGTCGCAGGTGAAGATGACGTCGACTTCGAACCAGGCGCCATCATATGCCTGGATCCGGTCGAACAATACGTACAATCTTTGCCTGAAAACGAAGAACCCAGACCCATAGTCGTAGCTAGGGAAAGCCTTCCATTACGAGCTATCTACCCGGAGATTAACTCCTCTGGAATAGAAGAGTCTCTTCTGGATCCAGGCTCCCAGATTTGTTCAATGTCTGAAGAAGTAGCAAAAGAGAAGAACATCTCGTATGATCCCTCTATAACTGTCTTCTTGCAATCGGCGAACCAATCACTAGCCAAGACTTTGGGTCTAGCACGAAACGTACCCTTCAAGATTGGCAATACTATCGCCTATCTTCAATTACATGTCATCCCTAAAGTTGCCTACAAGGTGCTTCTGGGAAGACCGTTCGACGTCGTAATGTCTACCGAAATCCACAACTCTCGGAACGGAGACACGACTCTCATACTTACTGACCCCAACACTGGGCTCAGGAGTGCTGTGCATACTTATCCGCGTGGTCAGCCGCCTCCGGTGATTCAGAGGAAGCTGCAAGAACAGGAAAGACATTCTTTTCAGAATTCGAGGATTTGGTCGAAGACCAAGGAGAATTCGCGGTTGTAGTCGAAAGAGACTCTAAGACAGGAGAAGTTCGATTCATCGAGGCTCTCCTCCCAAAAGAGCAGACTTTTGGCTCCGCTGAACTGAAAGTCGCCTACTTGCAATGCGCGCGCGATGAGAAAAGTTGGGATGAAGTCGCTTCGAAGGCTTTCGATTCGTACCTTCAACAAGCGATAAATGAGTTGCCGGTGGAACGTCGGACTGCCTTCATACAAAATATAAAACAACAATTACCTGCAGTCCAGGTGTTTTCACAGGCGGATGTAGACGAGCCTAAACCTAAGCAGCCAAAAGCACACCCAGTTTCGGGTAAGCCGGAGGTCAAGCCTAAGATTAAAGGCGTGTCTACTGGGAAAAAGTACAAGAAAGTAGCCGATAAAGTGAAGCCTGTACTGGGAACCTTACCCTCCGAGTTCAGGATCGATCGGAAAATCATAGGCGATCCTCTAGAAGGAATGCCAAAATTACCTACCCACCCACCGGAGTTCACACCTACGGGTCGGTACACACAAGAGCGAAAAGACTTAATGGACAAGTTGCACCCCGAAGGCTTCCTATGGCCTGAAGAGCGCAAGCTGTTGCATTGGTTAGTCATGGTGCATAACGTCGCCTTCGCCTGGGAGGACAAGGAGAGAGGACGCTTCCGGCCGGATTTCTTCCCGCCTGTTCGTATGCCTACTGTCCCTCACACTCCTTGGGTGCTAAGGAACAGACCTATTCCACCAGGACTTATGTCAAAAGTCTGTCAGATCCTAAAAGAGAAGATAGACGCAGGAGTTTACGAGCCTTCTAACTCAAGCTACAGTGCTAGATGGTTCTGTGTCTTGAAGAAAGATGGCGAAAGCTTGCGTATCGTACATAGTCTAGAGCCTCTGAATGCAGTTACAATTGCCCACTCAGGAATTCCACCTGCTACAGAAGAACTAGCTGCACGATTCGCCGGCAGAGCCTGTGGAGGCTGCATGGATTTATTCGTTGGGTACGACGAGAGGGAACTACATCCCGAGTCTAGGGACTTGACTACCTTTCAGACTCCCTTCGGAGCCTTAAGAATTGTGACCTTGCCTATGGGATGGACTAACTCAGTACCTATATTCCATGACGACGTCACATTCATCTTACAACCAGAGATACCTCATGTCACAATTCCTTACATCGACGACGTGATCTTGGGGGGACCTAAGACTCGATACGAGGATGGTAAGGGAGGGTATGAGACTATCCCTGAAAATAACGGAATCCGTAGATTCGTCTGGGAATATTTCCAAGATGTCAATCGAGTGGTTCAAAGAATGAAGTATTGTGGAGGAACCTTCTCTGGCAAGAAGTCCATCATCTGCGCCGAGGAGTTTCCTGCAGTAGGACACATTTGTTCGTATGAGGGACGCAAGCCTAACCCTGATCGACTCAAGGTGATCACTCAATGGGGCGACTGTAAAGATATCTCAGACGTACGATCGTTCTTAGGTATCACGGGCACCCTGAGGATGTTCATAAGGGACTACGCGAAATTAGCAGACCCTATCCAGAAGTTGACTAGGAAAGGCGAACCGTTTGTCTGGGGACCAGAGCAAGTCGCATCAATGGAGAACTTGAAAAAGGCTCTAGCCGAAGCGCCAGTCCTCAAGACTATCGACTACGACAGTGATCCTTGCGTAAAGTTAAGCGTGGATACTTCATATAAAGCTATTGGGTACTACATCTCTGTCCTGGACAAAGAAGACTCGAATAAATGGCACTATGTGAAGTTTGGCTCGTTGTTGATGAACGAACGCGAGTCTCGGTACTCTCAACCTAAAAGAGAACTCTTCGGGCTAATGCGAGCCTTGGAGGAAAACCGTAACTACTTGATCGGGTGTCGGAAACTCGTCGTCGAGACCGACGCGAAGTACATTAAGGGAATGCTGAACAACCCCGGCAATGGGCCTAATGCAACCATTAACCGGTGGATTGAAGCTATCCTAATGTACCACTTCACCCTACAACATGTGCCCGGTAAAAACTTCGCAATCGCAGATGGCTTGTCGCGTCGACCAGCGTTTCCTGGAGACGAACCGACGACGCCGTATGATCATACAGAAGAAGAAGCTGATGGGTTGCAAGGATATGAGAAGCCTAACCCGGAAGATCCTGACCCACTCGAGTTCGAAGATTTCAAGCATGACATCGATACTCGAGGAGGATACTTCACGGAATCGGCACAAGTCATGAAAGACTTTCACGACGAGCTTCACTTGGGGGCGAAGTGTGACTTAGACGTGGTAGATGCGCGGTCTCAGTACGTTAACCTCGAAATACTGCCCGCCACCCCAAAGCTAGGGCAGGAGGAAGACTCACTTGAGTACCAAGGGTCTCGGCGTTCGAAGTTCGCACAAGCTTACGACAAGCGACTTGTGGGGGTAAAGGAATGGCTGGCGAGACCTTTTAGTAAACCTCTGGAGAAAAAGGATACCGAATATCTTGCTATGGTTAGGACGGCTAGTCACTTCTTCCTAAGGAAGGGACAACTGTTTAAAAGGAATGACCGAGGACAACACCTCTTGGTCATCGAACCTAGTCGCAGGATGTACATTATGAAGGCAACTCATGACGCCTTGGGACATCGAGGCGTATATGCAACCAAGGAACTGATAGCTAGACGCTTCTGGTGGCCAGAGTTGGAAGGAGACGTCGCCTGGTATGTAAAGACTTGTCATGTCTGCCAGGTACGACAAAAGATGTTGGTAAAGATACCGCCTACGGTGACCGAAACACCAGGTGTCTTTCAAATCCTGCACGCAGACGTCATGCATGTGTCCCCCGCTAGCAATGGTTGTGGATTCATAGTGCACGGTCGATGCGAGCTCACACAATGGATGGAAGCGCGAGCACTAAAGAAGCAGAACGCCGAAACCATTGGCAGGTGGCTTTACGAGGAGATCATTACTCGTTGGGGATGCCTGCGCCGTATTGTCACTGACAATGGCGGACCATTTAAGAAGGCGACTAAGTGGCTTGAGAAGAAATATGGGATAACTGGAATACAAATCTCAGGATATAACTCTCAGGCTAACGGTTCCATCGAAAGGCCCCATTGGGACGTGATGAACATGCTTGCAAAAGCAACAAGTGGAGACATGCGAAAGTGGTACTGGTATCTACCTTCGATTACATGGGCAGACAGAATCACAGTTCGTAAAAGATTCGGATGCTCGCCTTTCTTCATGTTGACTGGCGCCGAACCTGTTATTCCATTGGACCTACAAGAAGCGACGTGGTTAACAGACCCTCCTAATGGGTTTACCACTACGGCTGAGTTGATTGGCGCCCGTGCCAAGGCTCTAGCCAAGCATCGAGATTTCGTGGAAGACGTGAGGCGCAAAGTTCACAAGGACAAGATAGCTAGGGTTGCGCAATACGAGAAAAATCACAAGGCTACCATAAAAGACTTTGACTTTAAGCCGGGTGACCTCGTCTTGATGCGAAACACAGCGATCGAGAGTAGCCTTGACAAGAAAATGAAGCCAAGGTACCTGGGTCCCCTAGTCGTCATTGCCCGAAACAAGGGAGGAGCATACATCGTCGCTGAGATGGACGGGTCAGTGCACC